AAACAGATTTATTAGCAACTGAAAACGAAAAATAGTTGACTATATTGATCAAACAAAAGATGTTGAAAACAAATCAATTCAAATACATCTTCAAAATCAGGCACATATTCAAATGTCTGAGAGATGAACAAAAGAAAAAATGATGACCAATTACAGAATTTCATTCTGATATGGTAATCGTGTCTTAAAGAAAGTATTTTAAAGAATTGATTTGTGAAAGGTATTAAAATAAACTACAAAATGCACATAAATGATGAAAATAACTAATTTGAAAGAAAATTTGGTATTTTGGAAGAGGGAGCAAGCCCAAAAATATCATGTTTGATCGCAAGCTGAGAGAGTCAATAATGTGGTCACCTGATTTCCGAACGATTTCTTGTATATCAGTGATGATATGTGAAGAATAAATGGCAATCCTATATTTATATATATTAAGAAAAATACAAAAGACCATGTTTATTTTTCATTTCATAACTATTTTTTATTGAAAAGAAAAATGCAAGTATTGTGAAAAACTGCAATTACGGAACAATGTTGATTCTAGATAGATTGTGAGATTCTTAGAAGAAAAAAATATATTCCCAATAGAAAAAGAGATATATGAAGCCAAAAGGAAAGTTGTTTATTTTATCACTACATAGAATATATTTAAAGTCCATTTTCTTCATCATTTCCATTAACAATTAATTTGTATCCATCAAAAGGTTCATCATCTTGGATTTGATTATAATTTAATTTACTTGTACATGATACAAACAGATAAACTAATAAATATACAACAATAAGTAAAAATGCATTTCCAGCTAAATGATAAGCATAACACATTGTTAATAGTGAAACAGATTCATGTGAATCATTCCAAACAAAAGATGGATTGGTTGTTTGAGGGAAAAGAACATATGCTGCTTGAATAAACCATGTACCTTGTGTTAGAACAAAAAAGCTTCGTAGTACAATAAACCAAAAATTATTTGGATCAAAACATTCTCCAATACTACTAATTGCTGAACAAGCTATTGTTACAACAAGTAATTGATGGATATGTATATCTACGATACCTCGCGCATGTAAATGAAATAGGAACATAAGACCTTCTATAGCAAAAGCTAGAACTCCCATAACTTGGTTGATACGTTTTGGTAATGGAACTTTATAATGAACTAAAATTTCAACGCAAGAACCAAGAAAAAATCCAAAAAGCATAGCCATATGATTGGCATTCGCAGTTCCAATATGAGGTCTTGGTTGACTGCTATAGCCATCGTGAGCTTCGATTGTAAAATGAATGGATATGAAAAAAATTTTTATAATGCTTTCAGTAGGCAAACGACGAATGAACTTGCCAGGTAAACAGTAACAAGGATAGGTTGTTGAACCTTGAAATTTATATTTTTCTTGTCTTGTGTTTTCATTTTTTTCATGAACAAGTGATCTTATATAGCGTGCACAATTATTGATATGCCACCAAAAAGCAAGAAGTATAAAAATCATACCTGAATAAAGGCAAAAAAAA